TGTAAAGACACTCACGGATAGAATGGTCCATGTAATTTGAATATCCTTCAGCTTAAATAATGGGAGCACTGCAAGTATGAGAAAGATGCCATCCATGTGTACACACATGATGGGGTGTCAACTAGGAGGAAAAACTAAATTACAGGATAATATGCACAATCTGATAACTATTTTTTGCATTAAAAGTGAGAAAAAATTCTCAGAAGGTTCCCTAAATTGCTAACAGCAGGCAAAGGAGGGGCAATTGAAGTTTTCCGTATTTCACAAGTGTATATTGCTTTAATATTTAAAGAAAAGTATTTGAGAGGCAGAGCAACAGAGACAGATAGACTAGGAGCCAGGAGCACCATCTGGGTCTGCCATGTGGAATCAGGGACTGAAGTCCACAGACCATTTTCTGCTACGTTCCAAGGCACATTAACAGGGGACTGGATCAACAGTGGAATGGTCAGGGCTTGAACCAGCACTCCAATAGACATCCAGGAAGCAGCGTTAACCCACTGCACCACAACATGAGCACCTGCCCTGATACTGTTCAAAGAGAGTGAGTCATTTGTGTTTAGAATTTTTTAAGTTAGTATTTAAAGAATTTCTAAAAATACCTTGGTATGAATTAGGCATAATAGCTCAGTTACTTTTGAAAATTCATACACAAATACAAAAAAATCATATACAAATATTGTGTGATTGCATGCAATGCTCAGTAAATGTTAGCTACAAGCAGTAGTAATTGTAGAGAACTGTGTTATTTTGGTTATATTTCCTACATACCTTAGATTTGAAGTGCTTTCATATTAAGCTGGAAGTTAATTTGACATGAGTGGACACGTGTTTCTCGCCTCATTTTAATGTTCCAGGTACAGTTTACAGGAGCCCTTTAACCTGTTGAGACCTTTGCAATGTCACCAGAGTCATTGGATAATGGTACAGGTTTCTGGCTGTTCCAAATCATACTTCTGCTGAGGGTTGCAAGTTTTCCTTTTTTACTGTCTTTTCAAGTTGACTTTTAAATTTCACACATTTTCTCTCATTTGAGGGCCATTTTTAGTAAAGAGGAAAAATTTGTCAGCTCAAGAGGAACCGCAAATGGAGAATGCCAGAGTTATTTAGAGACTCGAGTCCTGGGGGCTTGGCAAACTCCCAAGCAAAGTGATTTGCTCCCAAGTAATTTTCTGGGGCAGAATGGACCCAGTTCACATTAAGTTTCAAATCAGAAGCCACCGTTAGTCACTCCTTTGTCAGTGAAGTCACAAATGTAGCTTTGGAAAAATGAAGTGTGTCACTCCTTTAAGTCACTCTGACTTCATAATTAGCAATGATTAAGAAATGATTATTTCTTTAACTGTGTTTTATGTGATAATGCCATATTTATTGAGTTATGTGCAATGATACAAATATTGGGCAAATTCTAAGAATTATTTTGACTTCCGGGACATTTGTACCAATTTTTTAATCACATAGTTACCTCTTGAACATTAACTCATATCATCTTTTCTAGTTCCTAAGTTATAAATAAATTTTTATATTTTGTCATTGTCAGCCTCAACACTCATGTAGCCAGGCTCCAGGAGCCCTTATAGGTAACTTCTTATAAATTTACAATGGTTTGTCTCACTTGAAAATATGGTTTTTGAAGGATCCTGCAGCAGCATTCTAGTCATTCATGTCTGCCTCACTTCTTGGGCAGGTTTTGTTCCTTTGTTGGTGCTCTCAGTTGTGATTTTAGACTCTGTTAAATATTCATTGAGAAGGAGGTGCTTGGCCCACTTAAGGCTCTGGTTAAGACGCCACGTCCCACAGCAGTGTACCTAAGGTACAATTCTCAGCCATAATGTTTGAGTACATCTTCCTGCTAGTACAAACCCTGGGAGGCTGCAGTGATGGCTCAACTGATTGGGTCCTTGATGCTCACGTGGCTTGATGCCCAATTTGAGACTTAGTTTCAGTCTGTCCCAATCTCCAGCCAATGAAGCAGCGAATGGGAGTGTCCTCTCTCAAGTGGAGGGATCAGCAGGTGTCCAGACCTCCACGGGGCATCCCTGTGAGACTTTTCCATTGAGGAACAGAGAAGCACTGATGTGAGTAGAGCAAGGAAAGGGAGGGGGGATGCCAGAGCAGGACCTTGGAGGACAGCTGTGGATCCAAGAGTGAGGCCCTGTGATTGCACACTGGCAGCAGTGCATGCGCGGAGCTCAGGGACTGGCCACCTTGGAAAGAAGTGTGCTTTACACACTGACACCACTCCACCTTGTTCTTTCATCTGCTGAAGGGGTAATGTTCTCTCTGGCAGAAAAGAGTTTCCTGAGTCCTCCTAATAAAGGAGAACTATTGTTCAAGTTGAATGTAACTGAAAAAGTCTCTCTGGGTTATTGACCAAGAATGCACCTACATGGTAAAGACCAAGATGCCTTTCCAGAAGGCTCAGCACACATCATCTTATGTGACTCTCACGTTTTAGAAATAATTCAAGGCTTCCATGTGGAAGCAAGTCTAGACAAGAACAATGTTAAAAGTGATAATGAGCCCTCCACTGATTCCTTCTAGAGCTGGGGCAGGTAATGCTGTGTCATCACCCTTAATATAAACAACCCCAGATGGAGAACTTGTTCAAGCAGAAGTATAGATGTGCTGCCTGCAGCCCCCACAGTGGAGCCCTGCCAAATGACTTTAGGTACACCCCAGATACCTTCTGTTCAAAGGACCACTGTCAGAGGAACAAGAAGCTTAGCAAGAAAACCTAGATGCAAGCGTGCCGTAAGACATTCACTCTCTAAGATTCTTTAAGGTAGTTTTTAGAATCACTACTCTAGTAGTAAATTGCAAAGAATGAAAAATGCAGTCTGTAATATATAGTCCTCTCAGGCAGAATAAAGATTCGATACCAAGAATAGCTTTCATCTTTTTTTCCCTCCCATAAATAATGGTGTTTGGAGATATAGAAAGATGAGGGGCTTGTCTAGAGGGTGGAAAACGGGCAGCATAACAAAAAGCCTTTAGATTATATTTTAACTACAATTTTGTCAAAACAAACATATTTTACCAATGCTGTGTTTTGAAAAGGATTATTTTGGGGGTAATCATATTTAGTTTTACGGAAGGATCTTAGTGATACAGCTGTTATATTTTTGTAAATAAAAGATAAAATGCCACTGCAGATTTTGTTTTTCTGTGTTCATTAACTTGTACAGAATAAATATATAAGGCATTTGCTAAAAATTACATTCTGTGTTGCTCTGCTAGGATGATGCTGTTACCTGACTTTGTGTGTAGAAATAGATGTAGGCATAGATACAGATACAGTGTTACAAATACTTATGCCAGTCTTTGAACTGAATATTAAGACAATAAGCATTTTAAAGTTCTACTAAGCCGTTTTCATTTTCATCTAGAACATTAGAATTTGATGGCTGACTCCACTGTGTTCTTCTGCACTGAGATGAGTCCTGCTGCTTTGCTTAGAAAAAAAGCTTGAACAACTAACTGTTTACTAACCAGCCAATAACTTCAGCAGCTTTGTACTTTCTTCATTCCTCAAACTAGTATGCAAAGAGTACTATGCCCTTCCCGAGCACATCAAAACCTAGTAGGGCCCCATAAAATAGTGTCTCCTATGTAAAGCATGAATCGTTTGACAAAGGGGAAGTTTAATGATCGAAGCTTAAGGATGAAGTATTGCTTACCCCATTACTTGGCAATAAGTAAAAAATGGAAGTTTGGAACCAGAAGATCGGTTTTCCAGATGTGTGGTGGGTGTATCAGTGTCCTGATTTCTGTTCATGCTGACGTGGCTTGCTCACGACTTCCCTGGTTGCAAATTGCTCACACATTGACGCATCTTCTGTCACTCAGCCTCTCTTCATGCAGTGCCACAAATGCTCTCCCATGCCCCGGTGGTTTTTTATTCTGAGTACCCCCAAGAAAGTATTAAAAGAATGGTACCTTTTTTCTGTCATGTTGCACCTCTCCATCTTCCCTTTTCAAAAATAGTAAGAAAAATTGATCATATGGAATCAAAGGGAAAGAGGCAAGAAATGAGTGGGAGATGTAAAACCCTCCTCTCTATTCTTGATAGACTGCGCATTCGTCTGCACTGCTCACACTGCAGCTGTAGCACTAGAGAATGGGAAAAGTATGTGAAATATACAAAACCATACCTTGGTGTGTCTCTTAACTTCAGCAGCTTTGTATTCTTATTTTCAGAGCTTAGTCTCGTAGACAAGAAATCAGCTTGGCAAAGTATAAATTAGGAATTCAAATTCTTAATCCAGTTATGAAAACAGATCTAGAAAAATGTGAATAATAAATCAACTGACCTTCAAACCATCCTCTCTAAGTCCTATCTTTATGCAGTTCAAAATACCTGTCAAACACACTTAATCCGATTGGCTTCAGCCATAGCTGTCATGTAGATAAACTGGTAAATATGGAAAATCTTGGAGAGTTGCAGGATAACTTTTTTTTTTCCTGGTGAATGGCTTCCTAATTTATTCTAAATTCACTGATATGAATTTAAGCATAAAATCCATGTAGTCTTTCTGATTTTTCTGGCAGAACAAAATATTTTATTCCTTAATAATATAGTAAATTATGAAAAGATAATTAAACTGAACACATAAGCCTTTTTATCTTTCCATTTTTCTTCAAACAGAAGCATACATGTGATAGCCACCACTGCTGAACTGAATGTTTGCATGTAATCATTTTTGTGTTTGGCTTCAAAAATTTAAGGGTGTTTGTGGTTATTAAAGTTGTTTCTGCTGAAAATAAAAATTAACAGATTCTTGCAATGCCAAGCGACATTTTGCTTTCCATTGATTTTTAAGAATTATTGAAAATAAGACATTAACAATCAAACATTTTTGGAAACCCTTCATAATGTTCGTCTAGCATGCTGTCGGAGCCGGCTTCAGTCTCTGAGGTCTGCTGCTTGCTGTCTGCTTCCATGTGCAGGTCATCTCACCTGGTTTTTGTTTTTGTTGTTCTTGAAATGTTCAATTCAGGTTCTACATGGTCAGCTATTACGAGCGGAATCACAGAATAGCGGTGGGGGCGCGGCATGGTTCAGTGGCCCTGTACGACATCCGGACTGGAAAATGTCAGGTAAATAAATCATTGTGACTTCCTCTCCATAAAGTGTGGAAGTTATTGAAAGGCGAGAGAGCCTGGCACTTCACCAGTTGACGTGCTGAGCTGCTGGAACATTATGGATAATGCTAAGGGGATCAATAGTTTAATGAAGGACTCAAAGAATATAGAGCCCTACTGTCTCTATTCACTGGGGCTGAAGGGCTGCCCCAGCTGCTTCAGAACAGGGCCCAGGCTAAAGTGCCACCACTCAGGAGCTATTTTTTCAAAAAGGCTTTTCCTTCTTACACCAAGTTTTCTCAATTTATCATTCTCTGCTGTGTGTCTCATGAAAAAAAGTTTGATGATGGCTTTTTGGTGACACAAATGACAAAAAAATTATTTTTCTGTGTAGAGCAAATGAGATACTTGATAATTATAAGACAGTATCCCAGACAGAATTCATAAAAAGAAATCACAGTAGCATTTAATATCATACTATAAAAGCAAAGTTAATGCTATATTTGAAATAATGAATTGCAAAAAGTAACATTATTATACTTTTAACATTTTTTATACTTTCATAATGCTTTACAGCTTTTAAAAAATTCCTCTTGATTTTCATGGATATTGATCACTTGAATTTAAAAATTATACCAGTTGGGTAGATAGGGCAAGTCTAGCTCCAATTTAGAAATAAAGGTATCGATGCTCACCATTTTAGATCCCTTTATCCCAGAGTCACACTGTTAATGATAAAACTGAGGTCCATGGCGAGTATGGTAAAGTTATCAGGTTTGTGATGGGGATTTCCAAGTCCTTCCTTCTCATGTTTCAATACTGGCTTCTTCTAATACTGATATATATTTATATAGCCAACCTCACTATCATATCAGGAATTGAAAGGTACGATGAAGAAATTCATAAGGATGTGGGTGAAAATTTAGACTGTTTCTTGAATTTAAAGGACTATTAATTATTTCTGTAGAGCTTCCCAGGCAGCCTCTCCTGAAATAATTCCAAGAGCTGGTAACAGGTATTAAAAGTCTCAAGAGATCGGACAAGTTTAGGGGATATGGTTTAAAAGTTAAACACGTGTCTTTATGCAGGCCTTCCTAGCAGCTCGAGTGTGTGAGTGTGACTGTGCGTTTCCTAAGAGTGCATCGATTATGCACCACTTGCCACATTGATTTAACTATCAAATTTTGTTTGTGTGAATGATATTTCTCAAGTCATTAACCCCCTCCTGGTGACCATTTTCTTTTGTTCTGGGATAAGAGAAAGTAATGAAGCCACTCTGAATGCTTGTTTAAAAATTAAGTCATGCCTCGCTTTTAATATGCTTTCCTGAAATTGCCAGATTCTGCAAATGGCAGTTTCAGAATCTCTGTGTTATGAAATTGTTCAAAAAAATTGGAGGAGAGTGCTACTAGCAAACTTGAGACAAAAATCACTGCAACTATGACAAGGTAAAGACGAAGGTACACAAAGCGAAGGAACATGTCAAGCTTCTCTTAAAAACAGAAATGAGGAAATGAGAAGGAGCGCTGTTGCTGCATACCACACTGCTGCCACCAGCATGTGCTGCCACACATGAAGGGGGCTGGGAAAATAGTGAGATCACTGGCTAGTGAGAAAACACCACACTGAACTTACATGTTCATTTCCTTCTTTCTATTAGGAAGTGTCAAGATTTATTTATTTTTATTTGAAAAGCAGATTTGCAGAGAGAAGGAGAGAGGGAAAGAAAGAGAGAGAGAGAGAGACTTGATTTTAGTTTCCCAAATTGACTTTCCAGTTCTCTATGGCAAGCAAAGTTATGCTTTCTTTTCACCAATGAGAACAAGAAAACAACACTGAATGACTGACAGCATTGTTTAACTGCTTCTGCCAGTCACTGTTGGTATCCAATGACATTGAACTCTTGAGAGATGTTCTAAATTCTTTCCTTAGTGCTGTAGTGTTTGAAATAAGTGAATCAACAATTTACACAATTATTGGTAGCATCTTTCAAAATGATGTTTTAGAGAATGAATTAAAAGATTATTTTGAATTAGGAATACAGTAAATACTTCTTGAAGAATCTATTAGAATCAACTTATAGAGACATTTTTATTAATGAGAAACGACAGAGATATGACAGAAAAAAAAAAACCATTAAAGTCGGTGGGCTGGGTGTTTAACCTTGTAGTTAGGACAGTGGTTAAGATGTGTGCGTGTCTCACATCAAAGTGGTGGTAGTGATGACTGGTTCTGGCACCTGAGTCCGGCTCCCTGCTGCTGCAGACTGTGGGAGACAGTGGTGATCACTCAGGTCACAGGGTGTTCGCCACTTCTGGACTGAGTTCCCAGCACCCAGCAGCCACTGCAGGCATTTGGAATTCTCCCTCCTCCTCAGTTTTCTGTCTTCCTCTTTTTCAAATGAAAAAAAATAATAATATATATATACATATATATGGTCTATATTAAATAATAGTAGAATGTACTACGTCACAATTATATAATCTATAAAACAATGTAAACAGTATATATCTAATCATAAGTTCATTTGGCAATAAGAGGATCACAATTATGTAGAAAGATGAGGCATAAGCAGCTAAGCAGAGGAATCACAACTGAAGGGAAGAAAAATGCAAGAAATAGAAAGGAACCCCAAGAAGGCCCGGAGCCTCATTAGAGGCAGAGAACCAACTCGATGAACAATGACTGTTTCCTGTTGTCATTATTAGGCTTGCTGGTGAAGACTGAAAGAGTGAACTCGACTTCCTTTCCCTTACCTTTTGGCATTGACTTCTTCTGTAAAAACTCAGTTTTCTTTAGAACTGTCCTTCCCATCCTGAACAAAACCACGAGTAAAGGTGGCATACCTGTCTGGAATATGCATTTTCCTTACATTAAAGATCAGCACACTGCAGCCCAAATCAGGCCTGTCTCATGCTAAGTTGTATTGGAACAGTCACACTCACTTGCTATGGTACCATTGAACAGTTAGGGTTGGCAAAGGCCATTTGCGGTCTGCAAGACTGAGGTATTTACTTAGCAATCCCATTAAAGAAAAGGTTTGCTTGCCCCTGACTGAGATAATTGAGAAGAGTTAGCTAATTTAATTAAAAAGGATCAAAAACATTGAAGTGGGATGTGGTGGGTAAGAATGAGCACGAAGTTGTACAGTTTTGAATCCCGTCTCCACCAATTAGCTTTATGTCTTGGGACCTTCTCTGAGCTGAAGTTTCTTCGTTGTAAAGGGATAACAGAAACAGTGCCTGTTATTTCAATGAGATGTATTCACGTAGAATTTATTCAAATGCCTGTTGATACTGAGGCAGACTCTTCCAGGAGGCCATGCATTAAGCACAGGAGTCTCTGTGTTGACATTGGCCATGGGTGAGACTGGCTCACTTTCCACTTCATAAGGACAGGTGGAAAGTGGCAGTCTAGGAACAGGGTAGGGTCAGTAGATGGAAAATTACTGAAAGGAAACATCAGGACTAAGAAATCTCTAGTTAATCTGATTAGATAGGTCTATTGCTGAAGGCCAAGCAGAATGGCCAGATGTTAAGGGCGGGAAATTTTGACGGCATCACATCTGTCTAACAGTTGGTGCTCAGTAAATATAGCCGATTACTATATTAAAATAAGCATGGAAATGTACTACATGCCAGCGAGCTTACACTCATGTTGGGGAATTATCAAAGAAAAAACTGAGGAGCTGGGAGTGCTTGTAGACCTGAGGCCGGGGGTTCGCACTGCGCAGTTGGGAGCACCTTGGTGGAAAAACAGAAGTATTGCTGCCTTCCTTCCTAATGTCCACTCTGCTTGACCGAGTGTGGAGATCACAAACGCACTTGTAGGACAATAGTTAAGGTCCCGGTGTTAAGGTCAGGGCTCTTGACTTTGCTTCTGTTTGGCAGCCACTAGTGACTTAAGAATATACCTGATCGAATTGGCCTTAACCAAAAAAAGTGGAAAAGTAACGAACTCCCCATGAATTGCTTATCTCTCGTTGCTAGGCAGTGCTCCTACTAAGCAGGTGAGCTGGTGTTCGCAATGTTCCAGAGCAACGAGTGTGTGTTTGGCTGAAGCAGGGAGGAAGGTGCTCTCTCTGGCAATGTTTGCTTTTGGTTAGGCAGGCAGCACTTGTCCCTGAGTTGCTTTGACTGCACTATTTGTCGTAACTGCTGCGTTCTTTGCCAGATTCTGCTGCGCTCAGGTGGGCTCGTTTTCCTTATGAAGTTTGCACTGTGTCACTTAGACACGATCAAGGCATTTACTTCCTTACTGTGCTGTGGCAAAAGGCTAAGACAACAACAGCAGCAACAAAAAATGATGTTTGGTAAAAACCTTATTAACCAATAGTTTAAGTTCCTTAGGCCCCACTCTCGTGTCCCATAGTGTGTAGTATGTGGCACGTAGTAGATTCGTAAGCGGGGTGCTGAGTCCTTGAAGTGCAAAGTGCACTAAGAAACATGATGGCCTAATAAATGAAAACAGCTGTCTTAAGTTATCAAATTTTTAATTTGGGCATAGTTGAATTTTATTATGTCAGAATCACATCATCTAAATCTTGTCTCTCTCAAGGAAAAATAGGGTATCATTTTAGGAACAGCATAGAAAACTTATGAGTTAAGAAAGACATGTTTCTGTAGTGAACCAGGATCAGGCCCGCTACTGGTCAGATGATGAAGGGAAGAAAGGACATGCTAAGATGGATTTGCATGCATGGCAACCATGGTCTAGCTACAGTCCCTTGCAGAGCAGGGAGTAAATTCTGTACTGCTGGCCTCTGCCTCTTCACACAGCTTGAGCCTGCAGTGTCAGCTCCTCTGGCCTTACAGATAACTAACTCCATGTGGGGTGGGTACATTGACCTCTAAGCTTCAGTTGTGCCTTTGTGAGAAGAGGCAAGCAGCAGAACCGTGCATCCGTTCTTTCTCCCTTTTCTCCCAAACAGCCTGTGGAAATCTTGTAGGATGAGAAAGCATCCTTGAACTCTGTCCAAATCTGTTTTTGCCAATCTTTAAACCCTGACTTATTCC